AAAAAAAAATACAAATTTAAAAGCAGCGCCTTTCCAGTATCTCACTGCAGCAGGCAGCAAGACTTAAAGGCACTACAATGTGTCAGAATGGAGGAAATCCGGTGCATCCACCCTCCCAGAGTGCAAGAATATGGATTAAAAATTCCAAAGTTGATGTAGGCTTTCTGAAAACGAATGAACTTCTTTTCAGCACAAGATATGGTGGTGCTGCAGAAAAGGAAGACAAGAGGTGAGTTAATTACTGTGCTTGTACACAAACAGCTCAACTGCACACAGATGCTAGCTGGTGAAAGGCTACAAAAACTTGTGTTTCAGCTGTTCTTAAACTGATGTTTAAATCCATATACTAAGCAGCTTCTCTCCCTCTTCCTGCCACAAAAGGATCTCCCATGCATGGGACACAGATAAGCCAGATCCAAACATTTTCAAAGGTACCAAGGCTATTCATTTTTCCACAGGTCCAAGAGGTGTACTGCTCATAGTTCACCTAAACTCCTTAAGTCTCTGGAGGCTGAAGAGCTGCAGGGTGACTTAGAGCTGCAAGAGGCATACTTCCAGTATCCCCTTCCTCTTCCTTAAGCGAAGTCCTAAAGATGACAGAGCAGGAACCCACTCCAGGTTCTAAGTCCTATGAAGATTGCCTTCACTACCAAAATATCTTTTCCCTTCTCAACACAATGTCAAGCTTCCTAAAGGACACTTCCTACCATGGGCTGAAAGCAGCCTCAAGTTTCAACATACAAATACATAATATGAATTCACAAAAAGGAGCTGGGAGAAGCACTGGATTAAATACAAGATTTCAGCAACAGGCAGCGATGGTCAGTACACAGGAATCTGCTACTTCCTGAATTCCACCCAACATTTCCAGAAAACGATAGCAGAGTTCATGTGGATATTTAAACATCTACTCAAAGTTTTATCAGCTCACAGTTCACTTGCTGTATAATCCTCAGTGGGGTATTTAAACTCCGTCCAGAAACTTGAACTAACATGCAGTTCTTCCAAAAGGCAAAATTTTTGTCTCACGCTGACCACAACTCCCCCTACTGACAGAACTTAGAGTCTGCAATACACTGCGTTTAAGTTGACCCCGACTCTGTGGCGGGTTTGATCACTCTGGCAAGACAGGACATGCACGGTATTCTGCTCAGTACAACTCAAAAATCTAACCACCTGCGATGACTTCAAAAGTAAGCTTTTGGTTTGTTTTCCGTGTGGCTAGAGAGGACAACTCTGAGAACAACACATTCACTCAGGTAACAAACAGACCTCTCTCAAGCAAATTATTGAATCCATAGCAATAGCTGACAGAAAAATGTCTCTCTGCTGAGAGGTATGCTAGCTTACCACAGTTTTATTAATTACTCCGGTTCTGCAAGGGTAATAATTTCTTCATTGATAAAAAATTCAACAGTCTCCTCCTCCCAGTCATCAACATTGCTGTCCAGCTCATCTGTGTCTACCCCTGGAATGGAGAAAACATTAGCACTGATTGCATCCAACAAGGCAGCAATGGAAAGATTTGTTGCTCTTAGCAGAAACACTCAAATCAGCACTGAAATAAGAGGTATTTGGTGCTTAAAATCATAAAAAGTACATGCTAAATTCATTAAATGACAACCGAGGCATTACTGTCTTCCACCATGGGGCTTTTGTGGGTTTTCTGGTTAAATGTGACACCTTAATCTCTTGAGTCTTATCCCAAGGTCAAGCCAGCACTTGCCTTGAAGCATAAAGAGGCGAGGTAAGACACAGATACTAAAATCTGGCAGCCAGCAGTATTTGAGCTTTCTCCCATTAAAAAAAAAAAAATCCTGTTGCAATTCAGGATAAAAAAATATTTTAAATAACCTTCAAAGACTAAGAGACTAGCTTTGGCAGGAAACGGAGGGAGAGTAGCGGAGGAGTGCCCAAACAGGGCTGTTACTCGGTAAGCAGCAGCAGTTACCCAGCAGCAAGTCTCCACAAGCGCAGTACCCACCTCCACGAAGCTCTAAACGCTCGTTCCTCTGCTCCATGTACAACTCCTGTGCCATCTTGCGGTACTTTCTGAACTCTTCCATCATTGTGCGTCTCCTTTCCACTAGCTCCTACAGAGGCAGGAAGAGGTTGTTAAGCCTCCCCAGTCAATCAAATCCACATGCAATGCATTTGTTACCAGGTCAAACTTTTTCCTCACAAACCCACTTACTACTAACTTAAGCCCAAGAAAAAGATACCTCTCTCGGACCAAAACCCTGGTTTGGAATTTTTTAATTTAAAGAGCTTTTCTTAATTTAAAGACTCACTAATGCAGCAACTCACTAAGAACCTCAAAATTTTACCACCTTGGAGGTAACACCAGCACCTCTTCAGATTGATTTCTGTTTAACCTGACAGCTCAGCAGCATCTGCCCGAACCACCTACTACAACCAGCTCTAACCACCTAAACACAGATGTTTGTTATAAAAGAAATTTAACTTGCATATCACTGTTACAAAATAACTAGGGACAGGTTACTAGAGTTTTGTCTACATTATTATATTCCAAAAGGGTCTTGCCTTTGAAGCTTTGGACTGGCTCAGGCGATCCTTCTGCTCAAATATCTTGGAGTACTTCTTCAGGTCCTTCTTAATTTGCTGTAAAACAGGGAATTTTATTTCAACTAGGGTATCTGACTAGCAATCACAGCCATCGTATTGTATAAGAACTCTGGGGTAGGCCTAAGCCTTTTTTTAAAGAAAACATCTTTCATGCAAACTCTTCCATGCAGTTTCCCTTCCATATGATTTTCTTTGTTCTTCCTGGCTTACAGATCATGTAAACGTACACATGCAATTAGTGAAATCTGGACAACTAAATCCAATTTTGTTATTTATACCCTTTCACTGTACTCTAACTGTAAGAGCAAGTGGTAAAATAATTTCTCTTTTGGGCCTGTATATCAGTTAATATTTAGTCATCACCAGAAGGGAGATCCCCCACAGCAGTATGTTTTTTTCACAAATTCAGGATGATAGGGAGTAGTGTAACAGTTCAAGCCTCACTCTCAAGAAGAGGGAGTAAACCAAGTGTGTTTATACAACAAATCAACACCAGCAGAAAGTCAGCGGAAAACACTACCTTTATCTGATCCTCACTCAGCAAGGTAGCTGGTCGTGGTCTCCAGAGAAGCTGACAGAACCTCTCTTTGTTGTTTTTCTGAAGCAGACGGCCTTGGAAGGTCCATAACCAATACGCATTGTCCACCTGGAGGAGTAATATGCCATTTTAGTCAAGAGAAGCTAAAACTTCACACTGCAGTCCTCACTCCACATCTTAAGGGTCTTTTTTTTATAGAATCAGTACCATTAGTCAAAAGAACCATGGTGCTCTTGTTGTTAGTGCCTTCCTTGCACAAGTCAAATTCCTCAGCGAAACATTTGTTCCACTGAAACTTTGCAAGAAGTTACCTTCTAGAGGATCACAACAGTTTGAAACTAAGCCAGCCCTTCTCCCTTGTTCTCCAGTCCCAGATTTTGAATTTATACAGGAGAGGATTACAGTGCAGTGGCTGGAACCATGCAAAAGTAATGGCAGATGGAATAAATCTTGCTGTTCTGTGTGGACCACAAGGAGATCAAGTTTCAAACCACTAAAGACACAATGAAAATTCATAAAAGAGGACACTCTGTTTAGACTCACTGCCCTTTGGGCTGCCCATCCAGAAGTTACTTTGGACAACCGGTGAAGTTAATGGTCCACATAAACAGTGGTGTTCTGAAATTAACTTATAAAACTATTGTGCAGGTTTTAAGGCGTATGACCAGTGACAAGTGTCTGTTTTCTCTTCCTAACCAACAGCCCTTTCCAACACCTCTGGAAAAGGAAAAAAAAAAAGTACATTAGTACCTTGTGGCTCCACCAAGACACAGAAGTCACAATATATCTGCCTGTGGGATCCCATTCTACATCTGAAGCTGTATAGTGTTCGGCAATATTCATCATGGTGCAGTCAGATGTATCAACAAATGCTAAGGCACCATTCATGCTGCGAAGACAAAACAAGACAATGTGTTACACACTAGTCTAGCCTGTTTTTTTAAAAGCATTTCACAAGCTGCATCTTTACAACTCCTCACTACAAAGATAAATTTTCACAGCAACCAAGAGACAAGGTCATACCAGTCTCTGTGTTTAGAAAGCAACGTGATGAATAAAAACAGAAATCCAAGTAAGAATAACACTTTTGTTTCTACGTTCAGTGACCCTTAACCCATTTTATTTCTGTTCTTAAAGTCACAGCAAAAATACAGTAGGCAAGTGACAGCTGAAGTTTACCAATCATATGCTTAGACATATTTAAGTAGGCAAGTACTACTCAACTGGGTCACAAAAATAATTTTCACTTGCTCTAACATGAAACTTCCTTGATAATGGCAAAGCTGTTTCGTAAAAGAGTTAAGAGGTATAGCCCGTGAGGAGGCACAAGGCTATGACAACAAATGAACTGTAAGAGCCACATGCACGGTGCAAACTGGATTACAGTCAGTACTTAAAACAGCTGAAGTGTGTTTCTAAAAATCCACTTTTCTGTTGAAAAATGCATTCTTTATTTCATGTGGCAAAAATAGCACTTAGAAGTTACAAAGGACTAAGCTATATCATGAAATTGCATCTCTTCCTTTGCTTTGTCAAAGCTGTATCAGGAATACACAGTAATGCAACATTCATGGAGATCCCAGACACTCCAGGATGAGATACTCTAGCATCTTTCCTCCTTAAAACAAATGTGATCTTCATTAACATGCACAACACTCACCTTCTGAGGCCAGCCAACACCACAAATTGCCCTTGAGGACTCCAGAATATCGTGTTTGCCTGCTGTTTATCAAACGTTTCTGGAAAGAAACACGACAAAGTCAGAAGAATATCTCAATCCAATGCCATCAATTGGCTAACGAGCAGTCAACTCCATCCATTCCTCAAAAGACATTTCTGAACTCCACAAGCAAGTCCCAAAAACAGCCCGTAGCTGTATGCATCTGAAGACAAAGCCCACTAGCACAACACCCAAAGCCAGCTGAAAGATAAACTGAGGAGACCTCAACACCCAACCTGGAAATAAATTTCATCTAAAGTGGGCCAAGTCTCTGCTATCATCTCACAGGATTTCCCACAGCCACAACATCATTCTGGCTTGTAGGTCATTTATTCCCAGATCCTGGACTGATTCAAAGTGAAAACAGTTTAGCTGTCACCAGAAAGTAGGATTTCTAGAATACAATTTCAGGCGTAGCACCTATTGCCACACTGTCCCCAGACAGCCATCATTTTGAGTTTAGTGCATCTTTTGCCATGCAAAATGCTTTTCACTTGTTTTTCAGTCACTTACTTATAAGTTCTATTTTCCCATTGTTTTTAACATGGTAAAAGGAAACTGAAATTCGTGGAGTTTCTCCATGCAACACAGCAAACTTGCTTCCATTTGGTTCCCAAGCAAAGGCTATGATGCTTTCTGTAACAAAAAAAGGGGAGGTCAAAACTCTGTCAAAACACAATACAAAGCTCTGATTTCAAGCAGTTCAAGAAAACCAAGATGCTGAAGAGAAGGAAGCCATCAGTTAACAGACTCAGCCATACAGACCATCTCTTAAAACACAGCTTGATAAGGCAAATCCAGGACGTTACAGCAAGTGTTTCAGCCGAACAATAGCTCCCAAGTCTCCCATTTTCTACAAAATATGCTCATATTACCAGCTCTACCGTCTTTATTAATGAAAAATGACAGAACTGAAAATTTGTTAAGTCCATCACAAACATGAACAGCAACAAGTTTTGATTTCTCAGGAATAATGCCATAGGAATATGGTAGCTCCTACCAAGAGTTAATTTCCTAATTATGTCTCATGTTGACAGGAATTTCTAAGAAACATGCAAGTGTGTACTCAAGAAAGTTAAAGATCAAAAGTAAGGAAATACTTGGCACTACCTTTCATTTCCACCACATCCACTGGCACCTGTTTCTCTCTCATTCGGAATATTTCAAAGTTGGTCACTACTCCCTGTAAAGGCCAAGACCAGCTCATTATCCAGCACAGCAGCAGTAAAGCAAGTAACTTTATCACTAGGCACAGAAGGACAACTACACAATTAGCCTGTCAGTATGCAGGATGACAGAGTGGAGATCTATTTCTTTAATGAGAGCAGATACAGTATGCCTCATGACTGAACACATTCGAGACTCTTCTGTTCTGTTAACGTGTAACTGAAGAATTGTACAAAAGCATTTGCTTCTTTTCAGACTGTTAAGAAATTTAATTAAGACAGATAAACATATGGCACATTGTGCAGCATGACCTCTGGGTTGTTGAACAACTGCTTAACAGGAAGTTGGAGAAGAGGTGAGACATACAGCTCTCACCCAAGTCCAAGATGCCACTAAAGTAAAAGCAAATCTTGGATGTGAACATTGCATACACTTTGCTCTCCACATGCCTCAAATTCAAATGGTAAAATAAGTAAATCATATAATTTACGCTTTCTATGTTAAAAAAAAAAGACAGTCCTGTAAGAAAAAGAAGTGTCAGCACGAGCTAAAACAAGCACTTATGGATAAAATCAGAATCCACATACCTGTGTGCCTTTGGGAGTCCTGTCCACCTTCACACACAGGTAATCCCCGTTCTTCTGCCAGTGGAGTTTACAATCTACAACATTAAACAAATTCCGCACACGAATTTCTTGTCTAGAAGGCAGCTGCATCAAAGTCACTCTTGCTGGTATGTCTTTGTCCTCAGGCACCCAGAAAGCAATTATGTTACCACCTGGAGACCATGAGAAGTCTCTACAGGAAGAAAGTTAAAAATATGCTGGTTTTAGTTAGAGATATTAGAAGCAGAAATCATTTTCATTGTTGTATCTGAATGTGGAAGACAAATATCAACTCTCAGTAATAAAGACAGATACAGATAAGCAACTGAGGACAGTTTACACATATCGTACCCAAGCAGATTTTTAAACTTGCTGTATCACCACTGTTCACTGAAAAGTAGGGATTACACTCAGTGTAACCACAAAGAGCTAAGAAAGGCCGATTAAACCAATGAGCGAAAACAACCCCTATTATATTACACTGGACACAATTTTCTTGCACCTGGGTACACCTAATTTGCTTGCTGCTTCACAGAGAAGTGCCCCAAACACTCCCACAGGAACCTGTCTGTTGTGCAGACACACAAAACCAAACCTGTTCCCAAAAGACAGGGTACAGCACACTGTTTCAAGCAGCATACAGGATCTTGTTAGGGAGATATTCCCTAACAAACTGCATTCCAGTTTGGCTTTGTAGATAAGGAAGGGGACTCCAAAGCTAGACCCTGGATTAAGCAGTACCACAGAGGACTTGAAGGCACACAAGCTGTCAGCTACATACATCAATAAGTGGAGAATTTTCCATTAATTTTTGCCAGTTTGTCTAATCTGACCACTTCAGCATGAGGCCTTTAGCTCTAGTCAAGTCTGAAGATTCCTCTCACCAAAACAAAGCCCCAGAAAAAAGAATCTAACTGAAGAGAGCAGTTATCTCTACAAAGGTTTATACTCACCTGATCCCAGTGATTTTCAAGCTTTTTTTGTCCAACAAACCCATAGACTAAAAGAAAAGGTGTGAATTTTCAAGTTAGTAACATTCTTATATTTACACATACACCTTCTGCCCTTATTATTAGAGCAGAAACTAGGAAACTGTAGTTTTCAGAGATCCTGTATCCCTATTTTTAGTATGAACATATGTATGGCCATCTTCAAGGCCAGGCTGGATGAGGCTTGGGGCAACCTGGTCTAGTGGAAGGTGTCCCTGCCTGTGGCAGGGGGATTGGAACTGGATGGTCTTTAAGGTCCCTTCCAGCCCAAAAGACTATGATTCTATATGTACCACAATTACCAATAAAATCAAAATTGCTGTACAGAATTAATGAGTACAGCAGCCTGAATTATTATGAAAACGCAAACCACACTAGATTAGCCTGCAATTTATAGTACTTTTTGGGTACTTTGGCACTCACCTGCTAGTGAGAGCTGGGAGGCACCACATAACCTTGATCCTACTGACTCTTACAAGCACTATATATTGAGCTGTCTAGTCCTTCTAGAAGCATGGTGTGAAATTTACTGTCAAAATCAGCTCAATGTTTTCACCCAGAAAAGAACAAGACAGGAGCAAACATTTCTCCACTTGTAAGCCCAGCACTAGAGGGTATTATTGAAATGCATCCTTTAAAATAGATACCCTAGGAAACACTGATGTTGTAATGCAATAAGTGTTAAGCAAAAAAAGGCAAGAACTTACAGGTGTTTCATAGATGCTGAGGGTATCTGAAGTCATTCGAGCAAAGAATTTACCATCATGACTCCACCTAAGTAAATAAAAAGAAAAAAAGAAAGATTATTAGACAGGAATTACCTTTTTATTAAATGAAGTCTGGGACTACTTCTCTCTAATTCTCTCTCTCGACCTACTTAAAAATAGGCCAGTGAGCTGAGTTCTCACAGTGGAATCCTCTCTTCTTCTGCCCAGTCAAAATATCCCAGATGATAATAGCCTGAGGGTCATCCTGCGTGTCCATCAAAGGGCTGAAGGTCACTAAATACCTACAAAAGAAATTATCAATTTCACTACTGAAACTTCATCTGGTATGTGAGTATAAGCAGGCTTTCACCCAAGTAATATTTAATTACAATGCACTTTCAAACAACAGTTTCTCTAACAGGATTTTTTTAGAAGAGGGAGAAATAAGAACAGTATGATAAAGGGGGAAAAAACTTCCAAGACACAGTATTTCCCTGGCATCCCTCTGGCTGAAAAGACTCTATATTTCTGTGAGGGTCTTCCCATATTGATGTTACAAGAGAGGGGAACTCACCAAATAAACTATATAGTTTTGCCATGAGAACATCATTGGTTTTGAACCAATTATAAATCCACTGCCAACCTGAACTATAGGTATGCTGGACTTCTCCACTTCAAGATAAATAGTATCTCTTTAATACAATAAAACATAAAACCTAATTGCTTCCAAATATGTTACTTGGAAACTATGCAAAAAGATGCATCTCAGTCCTGAAAATTATTTCAGCCTTCTCTAAAGAGCTTAAGGAATTAATTTCGGTACTACACATGTGGAGGATGCTACTCAACTGAAACTTAGCTGAAAACTAGAAATCTAACTAACACTACAGACATCCCATCCAACTAAGGAGGAAAAAATATGGTCTTCTCCCTTGGGATAACAACATCTTTGAGGAAACTTGTCAGCTCAGTTTTGTAGAGCAATTATTCCAGATTAAGTATCTTTCCTGAAATTGAAGAAAGTCACGCAGAGTTTTACTCATTCTGAGAAGGATTCATGCATGAAAAGCAGTACTGGCAAAGGAGAACGTAAGACCCCAACCTTATGAAATTTGAAAGCAGAGCAGCCAGAATGTGTGTGTTTCATGCTTTTGATCCCTTAGCCCTAACCAAAGTCATGCTCCATACCTTTCACACGGCGAGAAGTCAATAAGCTGCACTCCCTGGTGACTAAACCTTTGAATCTGCTTGAACTTCTCTCCACCCCAAAGCGCAATGCCTCTCTGGTGGAACGTAGCCAAGTAGGTACCTTTTGGGGACCAACGTACATAGGTTTCTGTCCACCTCTGGATTAAAAGAAAAAAAAGAATCCGCAAAGGTTTAATTTCACACTGGATTCCTAAAGGGAAAAGAATTAATGTCTGGCTTTATACATCGCATTTTGCAAATCCCCCTACTAAGTGAAGATCTCTGAACTAGCAACACCTTGGAGTAGTTGTGAAGTTTAATTTCACGCACATAACGCACAGTACTTCAGGTTGAAAACTGTCAGTTGAGGCCTTTTCAACTTCCTGATCACCAAAACCATTTTCCAGATACTGTGACAACCTTTTTATAGTAACAATTAAACCCACCTAATAGGCTGCTTCCTTGCTGTCCTTCAGCCCTGGTAAGAACACACTCTTCTCAGAAGTAAGGGTAAGTATTTCAAGTTTCTTAACAACACAGCTCTTGACCTTCAGCTAAGTTAGAGAGGTTTCAGCAATATAGTCCATGGCCAGTGACCATGGTGATGAGCAAAATTACTCATCATCTCAGAGCCAACTTCTTTCTACTGTAATGCATAATGATTATTAAAGAAAACGCTTCTGGGTACCAACAGTTCTCAGCAAGTCAACTGCCTGCAGCAGACAGACATGCTAAGTCTCCCTTTTATATGCTGTTACCAAACCAGCTATTCCTCTTTAGTACCTCTGCGGTCAGCAAAAAAGCTTAAAGTGATCAGAAGCAGCATACTTAAGCACACACTCAGCTCTAATGAACAGTACTCCTCAAACCTCTGACTTTGCATTTTCAGGACTTTCTGATTCAACTCTAATATCCAGATGAAGGAAACTAATAGGCATCTTGGACCAACTAGGAAAAAAAAACACCCCACACAAGTTACCTCCACATTTGTTTTACCTAAGCAGCTAATTCTAATTGATGTAGTTTCACCACTCCTCTCCAAAAGGAAGGAAAAAAGTATTCCAGCAATGGGGAAAAAAAATCTCATTTAAAAAAATTAACACCTAAAATGTCACAAAATGAATGAGACTGACAGTGAATCTGCAATGTACAGCACTTCCAGGACACTCACTGGTCTGTCCTCAATTTGAACAGGTTCCTTGATATCATTCCAAAAAATTGAGGTCCGGTCTCCTGACTCAAAGATCACACTGTACTGATCCCTACAATCAGGATCTTCCAACCAGTATCGGAGATTCCCCTAAGGAAAAACAGAAGCAAAAAGATTACCAGTGAATCAAAGACTAAGACAGTAAGTTTCCCCAAATTAGTATCTACCTGGCAGGTGGAAGTTGGTCTCAGACCGAGAGAGCATGCAACGCTGGAGTCTAACCATGGCAGGCAAGTTTTTAAAGTGAAATTAAATAATTCAAACTACTGGCTACTGGAGGCTAAATGAACAGATCATAAAAAGGTGGACCTTCAAGGTGGTTTGATGATGTTAAACACTTGTTGCCTAAAATAACTTCAGAGGGTTTTGTTGTTTAAAAAACTATCCCTTCTTCCACAAGACTTTTTACAAAGCCAATGGCAATAAACACAGAAGTTTGCCTCAAACATTTAAAAACATAGGAAGATGCAGTCAAAATTCTGCTTTTAAATTACTTGTGCAAAATCATTATTTATTCTGAAGTTTTACCCTATGTGGAACTACTAAGCAGAACCACTGTGTTCTTCCTGTCACTTCACGCCTGTGAGAACAGTGAAACAGGAGCAGGCCATCACTACTGCTGCTTGTAACACCGCTATGAACACATCGTTTCTCTTGTCGTATGAACACTCCAGCAATGAAGGAATCATTTCATATTAAGCTGAATATTCTTTCCACTTTTCCAAAAAGCCTTACCAAATCCTTGAAGGGCTGTTTCTCAGGGATTTCCCATTCATCACTGATTGTCATGTACCTGAAAAAGCAATTTGATTGGTTATGCTCTGTGCAGACACTCTTGATTAGAATCCCAAAATCTGCAGATACACACAATAACTGCACTCACTTATCAAAGTCTGTGAAAAGGTTGACTCTGAAAGTGTGCTGTTTATCCAGTTTGTATCCATCTGCGTTCTTCACAGCATCCACTGCATGAGATGGAGACATGTACTCCAGGAAGATATACCTACAATAAAGGAAGACAAAAGCAGGGAGTCATCATAACTACATTACAAAAAAATAAGTAAGTAAAATGAAAAAACAACGGGGATGAACTAAGAACTCAGTACTAGCATCTATAAAATGAATTCTTGCCTTGTCCCTACCTAGTTAGGATCAAAAGCATTTAATCTCCATTTTGGCCACAGGCACATACGCACTTCTTGGCTGTATGGACTTGACCTGAATTAGGCTGATATCCTTCCCGTACGTGGGTGGGACTAAGTTACAAATGCAAGTTCAATGCAACACAGAACAAGAGCTAATAACGGGCAGGTTAAACGTGGACCTCTTTCCAGCTGAATGACAGATCATGTTCAGAAATTGTAAATCTTGCTGTCACAGGCATCTCAAAGCACTACTCTCATTTTTCAATTGCATCAAATATAATTCAGCTTCCTTCTTGCCACTAACACAATCTAGTGCATAGCCCAGAAGACTTGAAATTAACAGTACTCTGAGGACTGTCAGACACTGCCTCAAACAGAGGTGTGAACACAGACAGTATAATTTTCTCCCATGACTGTACAGAACTGACAATACCTATGCTACAGAAAACCCACTTTTTAATGCTTTCTAAATGATGATTCCTCCCACACTCGGGAATATACACTACTCTAACCACAGTAACAAGTCTCAGCAGAACCTCATATTTATCAGATTTAGAGAGAGAAAGCAGGCAAAAATCAAATTTTTTTCCTTTGCCCTCTCCCTTTAGGCCTGATCATACCTGGTTAGCATTCTACTCAATTTCAGATGCTGCAATTAGCCAGAAACAGGGATCAGAAGTATGGCAATGGCGAAAAAGAGTCCTGGGAAGGGTTCCCTGAACTTATGGAAGCTGAAGCCACTAATGTAAGCGTAAGCAGTGGCAACCAGAGACAGAATACTGACAGTCCATTTTGCAATAAACTGTACTAAGTTTTTAACTAAAATGGACCTTTAACCTATTTATTAGCCATGGTAGAAAATAAACAAAATAACACATTTAGTACTGCAAAGAAATTTGTCTTCCAAACCCAGCTAAACTGCTTCCACAATAATCCCCTGCCCTGTAGCTTAATGAGCTACGAAGCTTCTCAGCTCCCTTGGGAATTTTCGTTTGTCACCAAGATTAGGTGTCAGGATTCTACCGACCAAGAGAGAAGAAAGTCATGAGCATGACTATTCAGTCACCATAAAAACTGGCCGTAAGGCACTGACACTAATGATCAAGGGTAAGTCAGAGCAGTGTTCCAATTCTATTTTCAGGAGGAGTTACCATGACTTACCCTTTTGTCTTCCCATCTGCTTCTGGATAAAATTCATTGATAATTTTTCCAAACTTGGAAAATATTTTGTGAATGACATTCTTCAGTTTCTCAAGTCGGTCTGGTCCAACCTGGGGAACATTATCCACGACGATTACCGAGTCAATTCCATCTGCTTCTTGCGGCCGATCTTTCAGTACATCACCAAGCAACTCTGCAAAGAAAAAGGGTAAACAACTAAGGCACCAGTCTACATCATTAAGGAGGAAGACAGAAAGATTAAAAGACTAGGGACAGTAAGAGAACAGCCAGGCTTCAAATTTCAGGAAATCCCAAGAATCACTTCAGAAGCTGTAGTGAACGAACATTCTACCAGAGAAACAACTGAAGTAACTACACAACACTTCAACACTGCCTTGCTAAGAGGATGATCATGCAGTTTCGTGACAAACTTCAAGCAGCTAACTCTTCTGGAAGACTTCCTTGTCTTCAAGATAACTGGTAAATACCTGAAGTTGAGGATGTATGTCAACACTTGCACCATGAGCCTGCTGCAGGAGTCGGAACTGGCTCACTAAGTCTTCAAAATCGACAACAGCGCAGACAGCTCTAAGATTTACCACCCGAGCTCTGACTGGCAGCCTTGCTCAAACTATAACCGGATGACCTTGATAAAAGGAGATGGAACACGTACCTCCCTCACAAATTACACAAGTTTTAGCATAACTCAAAACTATCTGCCATACTGGAAGCTCCACATGTCTTAGCATCACTATAATTATGTTTGAGAACTCACACTCCATCTAAAGCTTTAATTAAACACAAAATGAAGGTCTAAGACAAGAGACTTAAAGCCATATTGAAGCAAGCAGCAAGTGAAGGCAAGCACACACCTTTTCACACTCTGGATATTCAATCATACTAATTCCCCCTTCCTATATCATCTTACAGATTTTGAGATTACTTGTTGGTGGGATGGTTTGTTCAGTCCCTGCACTGTCAGCTTCAAGCTTCTTTCTACTGGGAAGGGACTGCTTTCGATATGGCTGAAGTTTCCCATACTCGGAAGGGAGAACATTCAGAAGGGCTGTAACTGCAGCTGTGGCTTGCTCCCAGGCACTGGGATCAAAGAGAGTTAAAAGGTACAAAGTATGCCTCTAACTTGGACACAGAATCAGGAGCTTCAACAGCAACGCTGCATTACTTCCACGTGGTGAGGTCATTCTGTAGAGTTCTAGACATATCTAACTTGGATCTATACCTCAAGTCCATGCTATCAGACTGTTCTGTATTCACCAACTAAACCCCACTGGTACTGTACAAATTTAAACACACTTCGCAAACGAACATTACCTAACTACAGGGATGTACCGACCTGTAGATCCAAAATGAATCAGAAAAAATACATCAATGATTCAATCCTCAAGGGCTTAAACTAGAATGGCTCAAGACAAGGGTAACCAAGCAATCTCTCAAATAACCTCAACCTAAGGTTATTTTTAAACCTTTACATGGCATAAAATCCCATACTAACCCCAGCTATCTTATCAAATATACACTTTAATTCTTGTCTAGATTACCGATTGTTTCACACGCCCCTGCAACTCATTAACATTGATTGCATTATTGTATTCTGAAGAAACAGAAGCCGCAGATTATTTATGTTTTATTGATATTCTTAGCTTTGTGTAACCAAATAGACCGGAATAGACATTCTGGCTAACAAAAAAAGCCAAACATGCTGAAATGAATGGCAGAGTTTCACACATGCTACAAAAATAGGAAAAATGCACATGTGTATCTGCAGTGAGTTTTAAGCTTACGTGAACACCACTATAAAACGCAGAACTACGCAGGAAGTGCACGCCACTTCTGAATTAGAATACAAAGAATTTGGAGAGTCAGATTATACACAGCATTCACAGACCAGGGGAAAAAAAAAAAAAAAACACACACACACAGAGAGAAACATTTAAAATATGGATACAACTGAAAAAGGGTGTTAGATGTCTTGACATTTTGAAGACATTTTTACAGATTTTTGCTGGGTTTTGAATTCTAGAAATTATTCTGTCCAGTAACAGCAGTGAAAAGATCTCTAGCTTACTTTGAATTTCAAACTATCAAAACACCTGGGTCTTAAATAACCTGTTGAAGCTTCAAAGTTACAGATTACAAGTGAAGCTTTCCATTGATTCAGAGCAACATTTCACAACACTTTATGCATAAACAGATGCTACCACCACCAAGATTATGTAGTAGTCTCAAAGCATTGCTGTTTGTAGCATTTATTACTCAAAAAGATGCTCTCCATGTGCACACAGAAACTACAAATAAGAAGTTAAAAGATGCTAACTCGTATAATAAAAACAAAGACCCAGAAATTGTGAAAAACCTACTATTAATGGCAGCAACTGAAGAAAGCTGAAGAAGTCAAGAGAATAATCCTTCCTCTAAATTACGTCATTGCACTTACTCGGCACACTTCAGATTATACTCAAACTTCTCTCATTTACAGCAACTAGTTACTGGGTTGCAGCAACTACTCAGAAATGGCTAAGACCACATCTACACACATACAACACAAAGGTAAGTGAACAACAGGAGGACTTGTAAATGTTCAAGAAACAAGCTAGAAGACAACTCTTAGTGTGGAGCAGCAGACTAAAAACTGGGAAAAGAAGGAATCGAGCATGGTAAAAGTTCATTAAAAAAACCAACAGAGTTAACAGATATTCTGATAGCACAAAACCACAGAGACCACTGAGGATGAGCAACAAACTTGACAGGAAGATAGAGGCACCAGTCCCTATAAACATGATCACAGATGATGACAACTTTAAGAGCACTATTTGGCACAAGTAAGCAGGCAAAGAAGTAGAAGGAAAATGGAACATAGAGCAAAACCCTGACTCCTTTCAAAAGTACAGAAGCAGCTATCGGGAATCACTCCACAGACAGCATCCTACCACACAGACTAAAAGTGCTTTAAGTTACTACTCAAGGTATTTTGGACCACCTTCCTCTCCTTCAACCTTTTGCTACAAAGTTGAAGAGAATGCACAGATGGTGGCTGCAAGTTCACTTCCTAGCATATACCGGATCTTAAGGCAGTGTTTCAGGAGGATGCCATTCTCCAGGGAGCTGACAATACACCCAAGTTGTGGATAGGTAATCACTTCCTTAGGACTCCGGACACATGCAGTGAAGCATCTGCTATGCCTACAAAAATCGTAAGGACTGGAAAGAAGAATTTAAAAATCTGATATTACAGTAAAAGATTGTGTGAATTCCTTATTTACCCTATAATCTCGTATCTTAGGTTTTCAGGGCATATAAAATGAAAGCAGATCCCACAAGAACATTTCCACAGAAGCCTACAAGAAAAAAAAAAACCTAAACAACAAAACACACACAAAAGGCTAATTTTGTAGGCTGTTAGTCATTTTTTCATAACCTCTCCTCACAAAAGCCTTTGCAGGCCTACAGACAAACCAAGAAATAGATAGCTAGATTCATGTGTAAGAATACAGTACCCTGTCTTGAATCAAAACTGTAACAGGTTAAAGACAAATTCCTACACTGTACCCTTCCTCTACCTTAAATTCAAAGTTGTGAACAAAGGCATCTTCAAAGGGTACAAAGCTGGTTTAGCCAGCTCTTATTCCACCACAAGAAAAGCGGGGTGTGGTGGGGACACAACTATCTTCAGCTGGCAGTATTTTAAGGACCACTCATTATCTGAACTAAAGCTTCATTGCACCTGAGTGGTTATCTGACACATCCCTTCTCCTGCTTGAACTGTATCAGCTGTTCCACCATGCCACAACCATTCTGGAGAAAAAAAAAAAAAAAAAGGAAGTAATGCACCTGAGAAGGTCCAATCCCTAAGCTAGTCCAGCTCTAACGTGTTCCTAAAGATGTCATGTTATCACAAGCATTGAAATAGCCTTGGCTCCGTGACCCTGACAGACTGTCTTTCTCCTGGGGAGTCATTAGGATAAGGGAAAAGGAATAAGGAAACTTAGGAAGTACACACACACGGAAAGCCAGACCAGCAAGAGTGACTAAACTTAAATGCTGTAATTCAGCTGCTAACACTGCATTATTCATTCAGCTGTGAAGCTAACCAAATTAATCCTTAACAATAAAATGTGAGGATAGAAAATGTCTAGTTTCTGAATTGACAGCAAAGAACACAATAATCATGATACACACAGCGTATCAAGCAAACACTTAACTAGACAAAAAGAATCCAACTACATAGTTGCAGGCAGTTTTTGTCTTTAAGAAACAAACGTAAAAGTTTGAAGAGCTATACAGACTACTAAATTGAGAATTTTCTTAATCCAGGATATTTTACTGCCATTTTATTAAGCTAAACACAGGACTGGAATACTAGGAGGTACATATATCATCTGTATTCCACTGCCAATTGAAATAACCAACTGACATACAAACAATTGCATGTTTTAAGAACTGACATACAAACAATTGCATGTTTCCATGTTTTTCCAGTTCCAACATTTTTCCAGTTCTGATACACATAAGACCCTGTAACATGCAGGATATATGTAAAAGAGACCCTACAATAGCACATACGCTAGAACTTGTATTGGCAAAATAAATACTTCTGCTATTCAAGAACTAACATGATTTGTCGCAAAAAATTTACCTGAAATGTACCAGAATAGACTTCTAATTGCTATATGCCAAAACTAGGTATTTCCCTAACTATCGGTGCAGTTACAGAATGGCCTAGCCATTTTAAGACAGTCCATATGTAATCCCTTTAAAGAACCTCAGTTCAACTACCAGAAATAATTTCCTTGTCACAAAGTACCCAAGTCACATCCTCATGTGAATTAACTCTTTTCAAACCCTTACTAACTATGGATTTCACTCTGGATGCATGGAAAAAATAGAATGATGAAATCTAGTTTGTAAACATCTAGTTAACAATTCAAAACTTCTCTTTTTACAGTTAAGTTTATCCAGTGGAGGCACACTGAAAGCACACAAGGTGACGATTCCACTTTGTAAGCAGCCCACCGATCTTGGAAGTCTGATAGGAAATCTAAGAACAACAATTAAACGGTATTGCACGGTGCACTGATCCACCAGAAGGTTCACTTAAGAAGCACTGCTACCATGAAGACGTGCGCTCGGTACCATGCATGTGCAGTCCACCACCACGGCACACGCGGGACGAGC